TTTTATGACATTGAACATTCAGATCCCATTTATAGTATCTGGAAGGGCTTTACTGTATGTGTCATATAAACAAATTAATCTAATTGGTAAAGCATATACCAAGATACCAACTCTACTTCTTTTTTGGTGTTGGGAGTATGGACGATTTCAGAATATACGTATATTTAACTGATTTGAATTGATTTTTACCTTTTCTAAACTGGATATATAAAATTGATGCTAACAACCAAAAAGCTCACAAAAGAGATGCTTTAGTAAAAGAGTAACATGTTTTTTTCATTCCTGTCTTAGTATCACCCAACTAAATTGAATTGGGCTTTACCTTTAACAATAAGTGCTAATGTTTACTAAGAGCATAATTTGTACTGGGTATTTTATGATTGTCTCTTATGAACATATTTTGCCAATAAATCCTTCCAAAATCCCTGTGCAGTAAGGACCCTTATTATCCCAATTTTATGTGCAAGGAAACAGGAACATAGAGAGGTAAAGTAAATTTCTTAAGGCTACACAGTGTGATTTTAGCCAGAGTCTGATTTCAGGACTTGCTCTAAACCCCTTAGCATACATCTTTTATAAGCTTAAAAGAAAGAGTTTCATCTCCTCAACTGTAAAACACATGGCCCAAATAGGACCATTTAAAGGTGCCTACATATTTCAATATTCTGTGATCTTTAATCTTATAAAGATTTGTGTTTCAAATTTATGTTTTATGTTATCACTGAATCAATATCTTTTTAGTACCTACTGTGTGCCAAACGCAGTAGGTACTTTTTTTATTTGCACTATATCAATTTAAATTGCCCCTTGCACTGAGTGACACTGAGTCTTAGATATAGGATAAGGACACATCAACCTGTATGCTGTTGGGATTGAGCACACAAAAGGCATTCTGATTATTTAATAAATTCTAACTTGAAAAGAGGGGCTGACAGTTATTTTTTTAACCTTTTTTAACATACTCTAATTTTTAAGTCAGTGGTTTAATATAATTTTCTTTAGTTGATAGATTGATTCAGAATAAACTCTAAGCATAAAATCACACAAAGCTTTTGTTTTGCAAAGCTCTTTCACAAATCACCCTGGTTTCATGCCCTAATTAATCAGTGTTCATGGGGGAATGAGAGGTTATTTGCTTTTCAGCTTCTGCAGATATACTAATAGCATAGCAGGAGAATTCTGAAATAACATGGGCTATTTTTCATATTTGAAGCAGTTTCCCATGGATTCTTATGTAATTATCTAGAAAATGTGAACCATTGTTTCTATTGGAATTATATCTCGTGCTGTCAGGAACTCCCAAGATTACAAAAATCTACCCGTTACTAGGTTTTTGGAGCATAATATTATTCCAATATGTTAAATTGAACATATCATTTATTTAGAAACTCCTACTAGAGTCCCTGACCCTTATAAGCCAGAGAAAAGTGTAGGCATATCTTTTTCTCAATTAAATCAGTTTTTAAAACATGTAATGAAGCATTTCTCATTGACTGAAATAAAAATAGTGTAAGATTTTCTAATTCACTGGAATAGTTTAACAGGATATTGGGATCCAGTAATGTTTAGCTAACAATCAAGTCTAAAGAGAAGCATTACTTGATTTTCTTATATGTTATCATTAGCCCCGTAAAATTGGCTTATTGAGCAGAGTCTCAAATCAAAATTTTACAACATTGCTCTCAGCACATTGCACACTGGGGCCTTATGCTTAAAGGATAAATTCATTCATTATCCAGAATTTTTTTTTAAAGGTGCAGTTGTAGAATTGAGGCTGTTGTTTTCTCCACTGGTAGTCAATTTTGATTGCAACAAGTTCTTGGGTCAAAAATAACTGTGATTGCTATGAAAATGTGTTAGAACAGAAAATCTATGACAGATATGATAAAGCAAATCTAATCCAAAGATTTTCATACTTTAGGATTCTGAATGCTTTTGAGAACTATTCTGTTCATCAATGTAAAATTATTTACATAATTACAGATCAAACCAATCGGTTACTACCTTGTAAGGCTAAAGGTCATGCCTAGCATAAGCAAGTAGCTCCGATGCTGCTCTGCTGTTAATACCTGTTCACTCTAGGGCTCCCGCCCTATTCCCAGGGCTGATTGCCCTCTGTCCTGTGGCTTCAAGTAATGTAAATTGTATCTTGTCCCTGGGTAATCGAGATCAGTGTTGTCTTGTCTGTCCACTCCCTGCCGATGCCCTCTCTGTGCTGCGATAATGGTTTTGGTGGGCAATCAAGGAGGATGCCTTCTTGACTCATCTCTCATAATAGATTGTCCTCCTCAGGCAAAATTGAATAACCCCCGACATGGCCTGGAGGCAAGCAATGAGAATTCAATAAGTCTGCAGGGTCAATGTCCTGTCATTTTTGGCAAGCAAGTAATTATTCTGCACTAACATTCAGTAATAGGAGGAGGAAACTGCTGGGGACACCTTCATCCTAGAAAAGTCACCTTAACAGGATTTTCCCTCTAATCAGTAATAATTCTTTCCCCTCTTCTGATGTGATTTGGCCCACTTTTTCATGTGAGTTGCATGTGTGGATTTGCTAGATGGGGTTTTTTTTTTTTTTTTCAAAACCTGGTGTCTGTGGGAAAGTTTAACAACTTCACTGCCTGTTGTTTAATATTTTCCACTTTTTATGGGTTACAGTTGTGCTGTCTATTTGCTTTTACTGATTTGTGAAAGATTTATTATAAACCAAATACAGCTGTTCTCCCCTTTCATAAAGTCAAACTATTTTGGCAAACCTGTTTTCCACTATGAAAATACATTCAAAATCATTTCCCTTACCAGCTTGCCTACCAGAAGTATTTAGTTCTGCTTCGTGGTACAGGGAAAGTGCCAAAGTGGTTGTGCACTAACTCAAGGAAAAGAGAATGCATGTGCTTCAAAAATAAACAGGCAGAATGACTTTTTTTTTTCTTTCTGGTGGAATTCAATGTTATTAAGCATAGATTCCCAAGAGAAGAGAATTATAATATAAAAAAAAAAGCATCTGCAAATTCAAGCCACTTGAATATCTTGCCTTTGCATTCACATTCATGAACATACACACTTCATTTAACTAGGTAACATTTACCCAAAACTAATATTATGATTAACCTTTTAATATTCTTAAGATATTGCAGCCATGTACTATCTCTCCATTCACCATATATACCTAAATTGAACAAATCTTATGTTCATATTTAAAGCAACATATTCACTTTAATTAATCAGTTCCATTTAGATATCTGACTTATGACATTTATGTAAGAAATGTTGAATTGCCAGTTTAGAAGAAGACAAATGTTAGCGCCACTTTGGTATTTCTAATGCTATTTTTTAAAAAAACGAACATTTTTTTTTAAAAAAACTTTTTTTAAAAAATGAAAAATAAAGCTCCTAAAAATTAGCAAAAAAAAAAAAAAAGTGGTTTCTAAAACCAATCCAGGTTGCTTTTCTCTTCATTTCTCCCTGTGTAGAAACTATTGCTTTGTTCATTGAAAGGAACCTTTATCTTCTCTCTCCTGAGATTGGTGCACGGCAAGTAATGAAGAGGCGCCTATAAGAGCAGAATAAGCACTTTCCATGACTGATTGACGATTGATTATTGCTGGGATGTCTCCCCACGGTCACTCATCACCAAGCTTTTTTGACAACCAAGCTCTATTTCCGACATGAAAAAAGCATTTTGATCTGCATCAATTTGGCTTGTTAACTGTGACAAAACTCAAACTGATACCGATCATGTTCAGTTGTCGATGTTCATTTGGATCCTGGATGTAGAGAAGGTTCATTATAATAATATACTTTATTTTTATTTAGGATATCATAATATTGGCATATTTAATGTCTACTCTTGTTGAAATCTTTTTTTCTTACCCTCTTTGCACTAGATTTTGTTCACTAACTCAAGCTCTTGCCACTATTTTATCTTATTGTTGCTCCTTTCCATGTCTTTTTAACAGTCTGCTTTAAGGTTTTTGACCACCTTTTTTGTAACTGTAATCAAACCTTTTACCATATAATATTAGAGAGGAAACTAAAGCTGCTTCTCATGCAAACTGTGAAAAATTAAGATTGATTTAGAAGAATTATTTTGCATTAAGTACATATATGTCCTAGAGTAAAGCATAGAAGAGAGAACATATTTTAAAGATTATATTAAGGAAGGAAAAACATTGAACAATCTCTGTCCTTTCTAAAAAATTTTCCAAATATTTTCAGCTTAAGGAACAAAATACATTCTTACCAGTTAATTACTTTCTCTCAATTTTAAGACAAAGATTTATTTAAAATTAACATATCTTAAACATTTATCAAAATACTTACTACAAAATAATATTTGCTATTGAGAAACTATAATAAATTGTCTTTTAATAAATTTAACTGTACTGAGAGATTATAGCTAAGATAATAAAAGTTTACTTAAAAAATGGTTCTGATTCAAACTTGAATTCTTCTTCCTTTCACATTCTCATCTTTTCTTCACTAGATTTTAAGAACTGCATTTACCCTCACACCACGAAGCAGATGCAATAAATGCAGTGAGCTGGTTTAATTGGGTTTCTGGATGTAGCTCTTGAAATGACCATAAGACCTTAGCTACTACCGTAAAAGTTAAAATAAAAGGCAGATAGTAAAAATTGCAGCATATCACTTTGGGTCTTTATCATTCTCTTCTCCTTCTCATATGACTAGTTTTAATTTCTTAATTTAAATTGCTGAACATTGTGTTGTATTTGCTAAAACATATTATGTTTCTTTTTCTTTAGTTTGCCATATTGAAGCTACTGCAAAAAAAAAAAATCACTGTATTAATCCAAAAGATTATAGAGAATTCTTTGCTGATGTTTTGGCTGCTTTTCATTGTTAATGAGGTATTAAAAAATTGTAAATAAAACAGATTTCTGAACATCTCCCTGCCACTCAAGATAAACACTGGATGAGAGCAGATTTTTCGCGGATGTCTGAGAAGTTGCCTGATTAAGAGGTCTCCTTGCGCTTACCTTTGCACAAGTGTTGTGTTCCTGTGTCTGTAAAACCGGTGAGTTCAGTGCTGCTCTGAATTTATCACCAGGGTATCAGGCAAGCACTGCACAGTAGTGATTCCAAGTTTTGAAATGATTCTGTCCCTCTCTTTGAGGAGCTGCTGATTTGTTCTTTGTTGGCATGCCTGGAAGACAGCGCCCACAGTTCAGTGGGCTGCACCCAGGGCTTGCTGGTGCTTTTAGCCGCCAGCCGTCAGGGCCCTGTTGGCAGCTGTCGGCAGGCTCCAGCCCCACCCTTCACCTTTGGCTTCAATGTCTCTGTGAACTATAAAGGGAAGAGCTGCATTTGATGTGGAGGAAAAAGAGACTAGAGAATATAGAACTGTGAAAAAAAAGGAGGCTATAAGTTTACGGTCCTCAATCTGTCTTGACCTGCCTCAAAATATTTCCCCATGATTGTAATAGAGTAGACAGAGAGGTAGGTTATTGTCAAGTCTTGATCCTTGTGTGCATTTTTTATTTCTCTTGAACTTTTATTTGTTTGCTTTCTTGCTTTGAGTTTTCTGTTTTGTTGTTTTCCTTTCTCTTCTTTTCCTTTTTTTAATGTTATTTTCATCCTGTTCTCTAAACTTATATAAAAGCTCAAAAAGCTATGGCAGAGCTTTTAGTAAGAAAGCCCATCACAAGATCAAAAGAAAAGAGCTTTGCCTTTAAGAGGACCCTGGTAGAGAAGCAGACCATCATTTTAATTTGGTGTAAAGTACAGAAAAGCTGAGAAGTCAAAAACTATCAAAAACTAGAGCTTGATAGCCTGGGATGGATCCTCAATGCTTTCACTTATTGTTTCATTTTCTTGTGAATCTCATACAACGTCTCTATGTCTTTATTTACTTATCTGTAAGATGGGATACACATAGAAATCATCTTGTAAAGCTATTATGAGGATTTGGTAGGTTAAAATAGTTGATGCTGTGAGAATGATAATTGCTGTCACTAACTCTAACATATTATTGGTGGTATAGGAGTCGACATTTTGCAAAGTGCTTTCTCAAATATTATTCTTCTGTATCTCATAAAAAGTTCGTAACTCTTTCTGGATGCAACATCTAACAAAGTAAATGACTTTACAGAATACACTTTGTGAGGAAATCCTAAAGAACTTGGTCCAGGTCTTCTTTTTAGCCTAAGCTTTTTGCCCTTGGTCAACCATTTGTCTGTTTTGGGAGTCTGATCATCAGTTGCTATGATGGCATTAAATGTGAAAAAAAATGGAAATGCTAAATGTAGAGTGGAGAACACTCCGAAGAAAGAATACCCAGTAAGTGTCGAAAAAGAGAAAGTTGTGAACAGTTTCAGAATTTGTTCATTCCTTCATTTATTCATCTACCAATCACCTGGAAATGTTGGGCATCCTGTGAACAAAAACAAATGACATACTATAAATTGAGACCATGGAGTCCAGTGAATGTGAGAAACAAGTGAACTTATTGCAGCACAGAATACAATGTATATACTGGCCTTTTAAAGCACAAAGTAGGGACTCTGGACTCACACTGAGAATTTGAGAAAATCAGGAGAGTGGTTATTATATTAAAACTAGAGTATTTGGAGCAAGTCAGGAAGCAGAGACCAAGCTTCAGGCTATCCTGACAGTCTAGGCAAAAAATATAATGGTGGCTTGTATAAAATAGAATTTTACTTTCCTAAAATGTTGAAGATTGACTACATTATAGATGAAAGAGATCTTGTAGAGAAGGACTGATTTATAATGAAATCGAGAAATGAGTAGCTAAGTATTTTATCAAGTATACAGATTAAAAATTTAGTCATGGAAACAGATTCTCTGAAACTAGAGGCATGGAAAGGGTAGACAAGAATGCTGAGAAAATTCAGAGAATGATATCATCAAACAATATTTGGCTTACTTATAAAACGTAAACATGGGGGCTCATATCATGAAGTCATGATGGCCACTCGGTGTGTGTTAATGTTCACAGGTGGGAATGATAGCTCTTTGATAATGTTTGGGTAGTGGTAAGAGACAACTTTGGCAAACAATGATTCATGGCAGCTAAAATCATTGAGATGACTCACACTGAAATTGGACAGCCAAAAATAGAGACCTCACAGAACAACAAGCTGCCTGACACTCAAAAGGACAAAAAAACAAACTGAGATTGAAAGGTGAATTAGACTACTACACAATCTATTTCTTCAGACTGTAATAAATGGTGATATCCATTACATATAAGTAAAATGTACCTGAGGCACACATACACAACTAATTCAGATATGGTCCCAAATTGGGTGGAAGCTAGTTTACTACCTTCTCCACTCTACCAATGAGGCAGAGTACTCAGGAGACTGGGACAAAGGAATAACTACATATTAACATAATTTTCTGATTGGTGGAATATTTTCTGGTTTCGGGGGCGGGGGGAATGAAACAAAATAAAACAAAAATTAAAAACATGGTTTTACTCAAGGTTCTATATTATCACCTATATTTTTGTCTGTTTTTAATTTAATATTTTATACCTCTTTTATTTAATATTGTATACCTCTCTGTTACGTACCTATTATCTACTTGTTTCCTTAAGTAGAGAAGACATACAAGAATGAGGCACCATTTTTGGGGAAAAGACACCTCTTTGGGGACTAAAGGATGAAATTTGTTGGTATAATGTTATGGAGGTGTGTGTGAAGTTATCAACATGTAGAGATAATACATGTTAGGTAACTGGTTGTTTATCACATGTGAATGCCTAGAATTCTCACCCATAGAACTCAGTAAGGGAATGGTAGCTTGTTTTCCTATTTCCTTCTTAGTACGTTTTGAGAAGCACATCACTGCCTCTGTGTTTTTTTTTCTTTCTTTTTCATTTTTAAGGTTTTTACTAATGCATTATAGTTTTACATAATAATAGAGTTCATTTTGACATATTCATGGCATATTCATTCAATTTGCTCCATTTTAATCCCCAGTGCTTCCTCTTTCCCTCCCATCCTTTCTGCCCCTGATTCCCTTCCTCTACTCTATTTTTATTATTTACCTTTCTCTACTCTAACATTTTCTTTGTCCATTGTCTGTTGATGGGCACCCAGGCTTGTTCCATAACTTGGCTATTAGAATTGTGGGCATTGCTATAGAAGTTGGCATGTATGTATAACTATAGTATGCTTATTTTAGATCTTTTGGATAAAATTCAAGGAGAGGAATTGCTGAGTCATATGGTGGTTCCAATCTCTTTTGGTTGTACTAATGAATGTTGTTATGTTAGTTTGAACATGGCACTTGGCAGTTTTTCCTCTGGAACTCAGAGATTTACAGACAAGGTAGTGGCATCAGGCTTTATTTGTATACCATCACCATTTCTCTGTTTAGTAGATTCTGTGCTCCTGTTTTTTTCTGGGAAGTACCAGTGCAGAGGAATAGAGAGACAGACATTAAATTAAGCTCTTCTTTTCACTGCATCATGTCTTAGTTCTCTGCATACAATAAGCCATCTTATACACCAAAAAAGGACTATTTAGGATTAAGTATTTGGGCACCAGATAACAATACAGGGTGATCATATCATTTTCTTGCTTATCAGACATAAGTTTCATAATAGATTCCTGGATACATAACAGAAAAGATATTTGCCCACTTAATGCCTAAGAAATAGAAAGTCTGATTCCAAGAAATTTTGTGCAGATGAAGTTCAGTTTGCTATGGAAACATACAACCAGCACTGTTGAGAGATTACACATTTGTTTTTGTACCTCTGGAAAAGGTCATGAGTTAAATATATACATAACAAGGATAATTAATATGCTTCATTCCATAGTTCAGCTACTTCCGAGCAGCTATTCTGGAAATACATGTTAGATTTAAAAATATTAACAACAGAGATATTTTAATGATGATGTTATTTTTCTATTTGATGACGACAGGTTATTGCTATATTCTGAGAAGTGCACCAGTTCTATAGTATCTCTTCTCTAAGATTTCTCATTCATGGTTTCTACAAAGAGGCAAGAAGCTAACTTCTTCAACTGGACTGCACAGGAAAGAAAGAAAGGGAGGAAGAATTGTAGCTGCAACATTACATTCCAAAGTGTTGGGCTGTATTCCCCCTAGTACATTCATTGTAATTATACACTGACCTCTGAGATCAGTGGCTGGTTACTTATGGGATAATATGATTAAAGTATACGTAACAAGTATGCTAAATTATTTTTAATGCAATTCTAGTGGAGAAGATCTGTGTAATTGCTAATTCCATTTCATTCTAGAGGCATCTGAGATAACATCCCTTGGGTCCAAGTCTATAAACTAGACTAAGGCTCTATCTACACAAAGGCCAGTTTGAATACTGTTGGTTTTGCTTTTTTTTTTTTTCTTTCCTGATGACTATTGTGCATGGAAAAAGGAACTTCTTGGGGATATTTAGAAGACACAAAGGCACTTTTCAAGGTACAATTTGTGGCATGTAAATAATTCTTAAAGGAAATGTTATTTGCTGTTATGAGTTTCCTGTTTCTTCCCTGAATCATGTGTACCAGGAAACTGGAGTTGTCTTTGGTTGGTGCATCCTACCTTACTATTTTAATTTTGATGGTTAGGTATGTTGTTGGGAAGCATTTAAGTACCTTAGAAGTATTTCTAGTGGGCCAAAGTGCTGCTATTGATGATCCTTTGGAGGGACATAAAAGTCTGCTTGCTGCTGGATGTGCAAGAGTCACTGGGAGAAGGCTACATCAATGGTAGTAGGATGAGGTCTTCAAGGGAAAGACCTCCAAAGGAATTAAGAGAATCATGGGATCCAGAAAATGCCTGCCGTGGAGGCAGGGTACTAATGCTAGAAAAATAATGCTGGAAGAAGAGAGAGTGGGGACAGAAACAGTGGCCACTCCAGTGATGGATACTGTGACAGGGAAAGAATAAACAGAAAAGAAGCTCATTATAGTTCGCCAAAATTAATGCTCCACCAAAAGCCAGTTAAGTTCTAAATTTTAGAGGTTATAAGAAATTTCAAAGTTTTTTACATTAAGAAAAAATGTATGTTTGTATACCTGAAGCATATTAATAATATTAACATGATAATGATGATGATGTGGATATTTACTATTGATGACTCATGTTTCACCCATCATTCAGTGAAAGCATTGCCAGTGAAAGTTGAAAATAAAATTTATTTTTATTTTTATCTATGTCTAGCATGGCTTTAACATAGTTGT